GGGGGGGGGGGGGGGGTTGGGGGTGTTGGTGGGGGCAATGCTCTGGAGGAAATTCACATCGGCCCCTGGTGTTGTATGGACGTGCGCCCGTGCAAGCGTGGAAGGGTCTGTACGCGCTGCGGGGACGGTGGGCGTCACAAAAGCTGAAGGGCGTGCGCGTGCAGAAGGTCTTGTGAGTTGCTGTCACACGTGTCGCTGTCGACAACTACGGCAGGCGAAGAATCGTGCTCGGGGCCCGTCCAGCTGCTCCATGTTTCTGGCGGGTCTGCGCCTGCTCCAGCATTAAGCTGTCCTTGCGGCATATCGAGTACTGGAGGTCGGTGCACACGGTGACCAGCGACGAAATCCGCGCGGGACGCCACCTGCCTTCTTTCATCGACGCACCGCGCAGCCATCGCATCTTCGCCCCTGTCTTCGCGCTCCACGAGTGGGACTTCTGCACTGTCGTCGTCGAACGCGCCTGATGATTGTCTGCCAAGCACAAGGACGTCCACGCGGAGCAGACTGTACTTATCGTCGCGGGCAACTCTACGTCGTTCGGAGGTGCGGCGTCTTTCACCACCGAAGATCTTGTTCTCGCCGCGGAGCGCTCTTGCCCACCACTGCGACACTAGTGCACGAGAATCATGTCTACGCGAGGCGTTGGCCGTGGCAAGAAGCGGGAGAACGTCCCTGCTGACACCCAGGGGCGGGCAGGGGGTCGGCGGCATGTCCCCAAGCCGAAGAGGCTCTGTTTAGAAGAGCCATCACCAAGCGCGCCTGTCCGGCGAGGGCGGTATTGGGCGGCATCGAACGAAGATGAAGATGACGACGTGTTCACGACAGAGGAGGAAGTAGCAGATGACACCGTGGCGGCACCCCGGGGCAGCTGTCTTCAAGCAAAGAATGATCAGGCCGCGTCGAGGATATTGCTCACGCCCCCCCCGGAGGGGCAACAAGGTTGTCGGCAGAGCAACACGAAAGCTAAGGAGGTTGTTGTCGACGTCGGCGACGAGGACAATGAGCCATTGGAAAGCCGCAGGCAGCGAAATGCAATGCAAGGTGCCACGGCGACGAGAGTAAGGATACGCGCCGCGCATGAAGAAAGGCCACCTCAAGGCGCCATGCCGTCCACGCCGTCACAACCGCGACCACGCAACACGGCTGCAGATGGAGGGTCTACCGAGCGCGGGGGAGGCGAGGTGGCCCAGCAAGAAGCGCGCGTGGCGAGCGCTGGTGCAGGCGAGGGGTCCTCGGGCAATGTCGCTGTCGTGGCGGGGGCGAGAGAGGAGGTTCCTGTTGTGGAGCGGGAGGTTGCGCGTGGCGAGAATAAGGGCGAAAGAGAGGACGACGACCGCCTTTTAAGCCGGGAGCGGAGGGGAGGGTTGGCGAGAGATCTTGCCGACCGTGCCCGCCTGTGGGTCGACGACAAAGCGTTCTGGACAACAAGGGAGGGGCGCCGGCTCTACGACATCGTCCACTGAATGCGGGAGCACTTCGAGGCCATCGACAGCGGGGTGCAAGCGCCCATCGTGTCCAGGAGCGTCGTCATGCCGAAATCCGCGACGACCCTCACGAGGATTGCTGATCCCGCTCAACTACAGCAAGCGATCAGCCGCGGGGGGGCCTGCAGAGAACATAGTTTTGCGCGTCTTGCATGAGTGGGTGTTCAAGTCAGGGAACCGCCCCCTCGGATACAATCTCGCTTTCCAGTACGCGTTGGAGTCGGTGGCGACGGACCTTGCTTGAGTTCTGTGGTACGACGAGGAGTGGAGCAACATGGTGAGCGCGCCCGTTTGCGCGCACACGATCGACCTCAATATGGACTTGCCACTGTGGTTTGCGGGGGTGAACATCGACGAGAGGCCGGCGGACGACGACATGGCTGCGTACCAGGAGTCGACCGTCGTGTGCGTCGCGCATGCATTTCGCGCCGCCGTGCAAATGGTTGGCAGCGTCGACGGCGGGTTCATATCGCACGATCGTCTGTTGAGGATCGCGGATTGCTTCAGGCTGTTGTTGGCTGCCTGCATGTGGTTGATGCGCATGGCGGGAGACGATCATCGTAGCCACTACGAAGCCTTCTACTTCCCGCAGCTGGTCGCGAAGCCCACGCTGATCCCGTCCATACATTTCAGGACCGGGACCACTGTGACGATTTATTTCAGGTTCGGAACCTCTACGGTGATTTATTTTCAGGTTTGGGACGACTGCGGTAGTTCATTTCAGATTCAAAACCTTGGCGGCAGTTTATTCCAGGTTCGGTACCATTGTGGCAGCTTATTCTCAGGTCCAGGATCATTGCGGCGATTTACTTCAGGATCGGTACTATTACCGCGTTGTTGCATCTTGCCGTGTTCGACATGTTTCAGGTATGGTATTGGCTCGGCATTGGCGTGGTACACGCCGCGGCATCATTCTCAGGCTTGGTCTTGGGTCTGCATCGGCACGCTCCAGACCCTGCATTGGTACGACGTTGAAATGTCACAAGCATCTGCGTGGTCTCGGGCCAGAAATTGCCGCGGTGTCAACAAGTATTACTCTCGCTTTGGTCCGGCTATTGACAACGCCGGCGACTGGGAAATTTCGAAATGGTTATGTCAAGTCTGGTGAAGAACAAAGGTCGTGGTTGATCGCAAAATTTCTTTTTTTTGGAACATAGGTATAGGCCCCTAATCCAGTCGGAAGTGGACATTTTGGGACGGTACTAAATTCTGTCTGGAACAACCTGGGTATGCCTGGATCTGGCCGGGCTTGAAGGGGGGGGGAGACCAAGCCGCCACCCCACGACCGGGTTGGTCCTGCTATGACAAGGGATCACCTGATTGACTTGACTATAACGGCCATGCCTAGGGACTGCTAACCTGGAGCGGGCATTTGAAACACTCAGCAGGACACCACTGCTGCAGTACCCAGCTCAATGATTCAGGCCCCCGTCGAGTTGTGCTAACCAGCCTTTTTTGCCACTGAGCCCACGATCCGCAGACGTACGTTGCGGGGCCGTGTGGAGGTACCAGGAGGGAGAATGCTGACACAGAGGCCAAGGATACAATTATCAGGAGACTGAGCCCCCATGTACTGGGCCGGAATCGCTGGGAGATACGGGCTCGGTTAATATCGCGAGTGTACAGCCTACTGGGTCTCCAGGCGGTTGGGGCAGACGGAGGAGAACACTCAGCCACGTCGCACATGTCTGGAGAACAGCATGAGCCGGGCGGACTGAAGGCTACATAGGGGATACGGGCGGTGGCAGAGGTGTGCATGCACGGTGTACCCGGCGCACTTCGTAGCGGTATGCAGGCGGGGGCAGTTGAGGGACGGAAGGTGCGGGCGAGCAGGGAGTACGCAGTTGATACTAGCGAAAGTCTGTTGGGAGAGAATCGGACACGGGAGTGAGAGGCGTGCACGGCGCAAGCAGCCTTCGCGCGTGGAACGTGAGATGACAAGGTGAGATGATAATGGGACGACGTACGAGCTGACCGCTTCTCGTATGTGACGGGGCGCCGGCGTCAGAGACACTCGCAGTAGGGAGAGGACCGAACAAGGGAGCTCGGTGCGCGAGCTACCGGGGTGCCTCTCACAACTACAGTAAGTGGATGACCCTGCCGATGGGCCACGGGTWAGAGTACGGCGTAAGAACGCAGCRTGSGYGCRAATCCCTTCCCAGACAASGAACGCGTGAGCCTGACAGTGCGAGCGAGTGGTAGTGAAAGTTCACTGAGATGGAGATGCCGCAAGCATTTAGAGTGAGCAGGCACAGAGAGTGTGAGAAGGTGAGTTGCGTTAGCCATGGCGGGATGAGCTGGAAAAGGGCTGAAAGGAAGGAACACAGGGCATGACTTCCAGCCCGAGGTGTGACTCCCATTAGTGCCGAGCGAGGGAGCTGCTAGCGCACGCTAGCTAGAAAGACAGAACTGTGCGGGGAGCATGGGTAAGCGAGGAGAAGGAGCTCTTGGTGGGGGTACAGCAGGGTGCGAGACATGCCTATTGGCCCGACTAGGCGGAAGGGACGAAACATGTAGGTGAGAGCCCTTGGCGCGCGTAACGACCAAGCAAACCATGCGTAAGACCGCGGGGCGAGTGAAAGGAAATCATCGGGGAGGCAGACGAAGAGCTGAAGAGACGGGAAGGGAACGCTGCCCGCGCGGCTAAAGGTTGGGAAACCGTCGAGAACTAACACGAGGGGCGAAACCGAGTGAAGGACGGACAGTTATTCGGGACCACGTCGGAATCGAACGGGAAGAAGGCAGCAACGAAGAGATGGTCGACATCGGTCAAGGGCGAGAAGGGGGAGCCAAGGTTGGGTTTCCGTGATAAAGACTAGCGACGTATGTCCCCAATCACTGCTCGACTTGACTGGTAACAGCGGGTGAGAACCGACAGGTGAAACCGAAACCGAAGATCTAAAAGATAGCGTGTGTAGGTTGTCGTTCCCTACATTTGACCGCTATTCATTGACAGAGAGGGGAAACGAAAGTTGAACCCTCTCTTTACCTGATGAGCAACTGCAGTCTTGTTTGCTCGTTTCGCTCAAAATTGTCTCATCCTTGGTCCCCGTATCTGACGAGCAACTTTGATCTCATTTGGACATCTGGCTCGAAGTTATATCAATCTCGGATCTTTTTTTTGTCGAGCCACCACAACCTTGTCACGTGCAACTGCAGAGCTATTAGTTTGTTTGGCTCAAAATTGTTCTTACCCCCGCATCTCTGAATCGCAACTGCCCCCGATTCTCTCGACCATAGGGGGCGGGATCATCTCCGAGGGTGAAGGAAGGAAAAGACAGCGGATGCAAGGGAAAGTGAGAAAGGACAGCGAGAAAGAAAGAAAGGGGAAGCAACGGGGAATGGCGTGAGTAAGGGAGAGAGCATTGGGCGAGAGAGGGGGGAACAGCAAGAAAGAGAGACAGTGAACTGCGAGAAAGAGAGACAGTGAACTGCGAGAAAGAGAGACAGTGAACTGCGAGAAAGAGAGACAGTGAATTGCGAGAATGAGAGACAGTGAACTGCGAGAATGAGAGACAGTGAACAGTGAGAATGAGAGAGAACAATGAGGGTGAGAGAGAGTGAATGGCGAGAGTGAGAGGGGAGGAGAATCGGGAAAGAGAGATTAAGACGGAGGGGAGAGGAATAGAGGGCAGGAAGACCTCTCTGAGGGGAACAACAATGCTTAATGGCGCGTGAACTTGTCCTTTCTACAGTTGACTGTGAAGATCACGTGCCTCACGACTTTGTCTAATTGTCATATTTGCAACTGTTTGGACTTGCCAAACCAAAGGAGAGCTGGCGAAGCTCGTCACCATTTCGTTGCTCTCAGTGTAGGGAAAATTTGAACTAACCAGTTGTGGGATTTTGATGCCTGTTTGCTCGAGCTTATCATTGGGAGAGTGTTTCTGAGTTGTTATATAAGCATCCGAGCTCGCTGTGGGACGAGCCGCTGACTGTTGTTGTTTTTTTTTTTTTTTTTTTTACTGCAGAACGAACTTCCTGATCTGACGATCGAGTTACCAAACCTGTTGGGGCACGAGTATGCGAAGCAGCCCATTGGCTGTCCAAACTTGCTATTGATAGAGCCTGCTGATCAGACAGTTGACCATCCAAAAGCTGACATTGAGTGTACTCGTAGGGATACCGAAAACAGGGGAGAGTTGAAACATGGTATATAAGCGTACGGTCAAATCATGAACCCTGCTGGTCGCCGAGGACCTCGGAAGTGGGCGAGGCGGGTGACAGACGCCTTTGCCCTTGGCTTCGGCGAACAATAGGCGCCCCTACCCGGGTTTCCTCACAACCTTGGCGCCGTTGTCGGGGAGGGGAGCAGCACCCCCAAGGCCGCGGCCTTCCCCAAATAACGGGGGTGCGCGGGCTGATTAGTCCAGGCACTAATTAGTTCATTTTCTTGATTAGTTCTGTTTATGATTATTTTTTGAAATCTTTTTTTTTAGATATCTCGTAATCCGCGCATTTTCACGCGAAGAACGCAGAAGCCAAAGTTTGACGTCTCGACGAGGGGAACGTTATGAGATGTTTCTTGCTGAAATCTAACGGTCTGATTTCGGGATAATGAATTTTCTTTGAAAATCAAATTATTAATTCGAATTATTTTTTGCGGGAAATTGGTACCTTTTCTCGAGATAACTCCTGTACCAAACCTGCTCAGTTTATTTTTCCCGTCGTTTTGATACCTTGGACGGGGCAAACGGAGGTGGTTAGAGGCAAGAACGGTAAGTAACATCAAAGAAAAAAGAAGTAAAACAAGAATTAAATATTTATTTTTTTAAAAAATTTTGGGTTGAATACCAAAAAAAAGGGATTAAGAAAAAGTGTTCCGTCAAAGTTTTTGCAAAATTTGAGTGAAGTTGACGGGAAAATTTTGGGACCGAACGAGTTTTGGAAGAAAGCGTGCGGTTGCGCGCGAAGCCCCCAAAACCCGAGTAGATAAACCCTAATTAGGGGAAACCCTAATCAGGGGAAGTCTTATTCAGGATTTTGGGGCGGATAACAACCTCGAAGAGGAGAGGCTCGAAGAGGAAGGATAATATACGGGGAATATTTTGTCTTT